CGCCTCCAAGTTTTGCAAGTAATACCCAAGGCTGTACAAAATTCCAAAAAAATATGTTTATTTTCGAGGGAAGTGATTGCTATACATCGTCTATTTAAGTTTAAAATACAAAATAAATCTTTTCAAAGAGAAAAGCATTAAAAAATTTTTTTTCAAATATTTCAAATAAGCAAATATTTTAAAATATTTTATAATTTTTACTTTAAAAAAACCGTGACTTCAATAATGCTTTAAAAAAGATTTAAGTACGGTATTAATACTGTTGTAGTACCGTCTCAGAGCTTTCAATACCTTTACGTTTTAAAAAAAACTACTAAAGCTTTTCGTACATTTTGGAATACAATTTTTACCATATCAATAAAACTTTGACGTTTATTTGAAAATTTCAATTTAAAGTTCTGTTCAAATGTTAATTTTTATAAAACGTTACCACATCATTAAAAACTTAGCATTTTTATGCTTCATAACTAGAACTTTATTGCTGAATATATATGCTAGTTTATTTTATCGGTTGTTTCTGGCAACATTTATATGACAAGGTATAAGAAAAGCGTGCTCTATTTTTTCAATGCTCGATGTACTTTTATTTTACGTCTCCATTACGTATAAAACGCATTTAGGAAAAGTGTGCAATGTCAAGAGCTTTTACTAAACTTTTTGGAATTTGATACTTTGTAAAATTTAAATGTAGTAATTGTAATTTTAAAATTTAAAATAAAAAAATATTGTTCGAAACAAAGTAAGAGACAACTTGGTTTCAACGTTTTTTCAAAATACTCTTTTAATATTTCTAATTCGTTGCGTAAATGATAGATAGCAAGTCCATGTCTGCTATGTAATGATTTGAAACTTTTTAAATTTCTTGCGCTCTTTTCTTGCATCACATTCGAAAATTAAAATTGAAAAAGTTGTCTTTTCGGCGACTCAGTCACTTAATTTAGGCTCTAGAAGACTTCAGCTACAAAAAAATAACAGGCAAATCCCTAAAACAAAATTAACGATATTAAATTCTAGTCAAGAAGGAAAAAATCAATACGTTTTAGACTTTTTTGACAAACTAATATATCAGACATTTTTATTGCTTTTTCTTTTCAGTGTTCCTGAAAGAGATGATTCTTCTTATTGTTCAAACGCTGTTTTAAACTTATTGAATCATTATTTTCATGACTATGATTATTTTCCTTTTTTTGTAATATTTATTATGCAATTATTTTACAAATTTTGTAACATTTTTCAAACGTTTTTATTTATTTTTAATTTTATTAAATTTTGTGTCACTTTTTTTTCAAATAATTTTTGTGTTATTTTTCATAATGAAATAGCGTTGTATATTTTAGTGGATGCCAGCGAATTTTCTGTTCTGAAATTTACATCAATGTAGAATTTTTAGATATAATCTAATGGCTATTAAATTTTGGAAACGGTAGCACAGGAACTGAAACCTATCTTTTAGATTATTTTCGGTTGAAAAAAAATTTGATTAAGTTAATGTTAAAAGAACATTATGAAGATAATATTATAGAAAGAAATTTCTTTAAAAAATCTTACTGCAATACTGGAAAAAAATGTTGAAAAATAAAATGTCACAACACCAATTACAACAATACAAAACGGAATTCGTGTTTTGGTAATGTTGAAGCAACGTTACAGCATTAACTGTTGGAACCAGTGCTGTCAATCATAAATAAAAAACCATGAAAAATTTTGACTGCTCATGGTAAGCTAATTGTACAATTTTCTTAAGAAATTTTTCCTTCAAACTAACTTTATTGGGAAAAATTATGTATACAAATAATACAAAAGCAATCACGATGAACATAGTTGTAATATATCGAAGCTATATTTGATTAGATTCAGAGTTTTCAGAGATCTGGCCATTCTTATAAAAGAACACTGACTTTACCTCTCAATATTCTGAGCAAAGTATATCTATAATAAGTAGTTCGACTCGTTCAATTCCGTTAGTTTTCGTTTGCATTTTGCTTCCAAATTCTTAAAATATTCCATTTTTATTTAGAAATAGATGGTAATAAGAATAAAAGCAGGAATTGTGTAGGCAAGAAATAAACAAAATATTGTAAACAAACGAGTGTATCAAAAACATTGAACTGAAATAAAATTAAACTAAGCTAGGTAAAAATTTTATTTTTATTTTGATAATAACAAAATTTATTTTTTATTTTTCATTTTATTCGAATGTGTGAAAGCAAAAGATATATGAGTTTGAAATTAAATGCATGAATGTACACATGGATGTACCTGGTGCAGTAGATACATAGTATCAGGTAGTGACATAGAAATAAAGTAATTTATAAAGAAAAAAGGCTGTATGCATACTGATTAATACTTTATGAAATATAATCATTACCGATTCATAAGAAATATGTTTTAAATTTATTGAGATTGAAATAAAAATAAAAAATTTAAAGATAATTTATTTATTTATTACTCGATGGCAGGGTGAATGGCGGAGTTTATTCTGAGCAATTAGATGTTAAGCTCTCCTTCCGTCTGCCGGATCACTGTAGTGTATTTCAGGCCGAGGTGGCCGCAATTGGGGATATTCTGCGCTGGCTTGGGTGCAACGTCGTATCGGCTTGTGGCGTCAGCAATTTCACTGACAGCCAGGCCGCGATAAGGGCACTGGGCTCTGAGGTCTCCACGTCTAGAACGGTCCGGAACTGCAGGTCGTCTCTCAACGAGATGGTCTCTGGACACAATGGGGTTCCCGGTAACGGCAAGGCAAGACGAGCTTGCGAGGCATGGAACTACTCTGGAGATTCCACCTGAAAAGGAGAACTTGGGCATGCCTCAAAGAACCCTAGGTCTGCTGCCGCACCGCAAACGATCTTTGTAGGAGTTACTGTGACGAGGGGGAGGAGGAAACGGTGACCCACCTTCTATGCTCATGTCCAGCACTGGCGAACTATGAAAAAAAAAGCTGTTCACTTAAAAATAACAAAATGCTTTCAGTAACATACAAAACGTTGAAGGCGAAGGTTGTGCTTGTTGTTTTTCCGCTGTTTCAAGAATTTTAAAATAATTATGAATGAAAATATTAATATATTTTCTTGATTTTTCAAATATATTTTCGAAATTTTACCTGCTTTATAATAAGTGTGAATTTATTTTAATATTTCTTCTCAAAAAATAGCCACTTCGATTTAAAAAAACCCATATAAAAGAAGGTCGTGCTTTCAAGTTTCTCTCTTAGCATTGGGACTTGTTAGATAGAAAGACATTAGATATACTTTCATTCAAAAAACGAACACAAATCTATTTTTGACAGACCTGGATTTACTCTGATCTAGAGGAGGATATAAAGTAAACATCTCAAAATTTAAAAGATAAATTTCAAAAAGAAAATAACAAAAAATAATTTATTTTTCGGATTAGTAGATTCCTTAGTTATCTTCAGAAATTTTTTGATCCAACGATAATGTTAGAAATTTCATTACCACAAAACCATAAATTTAATTTGTGGGAAAACAACAAAGGATAGTAAAAAAAGTAAAGACGGTTAAAAACGACAAACTGATACAATTTCTTTTAATTTTTGGTTGATACAAACACTGTTAATTTCCTATTTGTTGGAAAAAGTGATAAAATTTTTAAAAGTTTTCTACAAATCATAATTTTGAATTTAAAAATTATCAAAAATTTTTAAAATTCATGTTACAGTGCGAAAAACCAAACGCATTTCTGTTTTTTTTCCGACATTTACCTCGTTTATACGGCAGCTTCAAGCATAATTGAAGTCTATTTTATGTCCATTTCCATGTAAATGTTACTTTACTCAAAAAGTTGCTTTTTCTTTTCACTGTTCCTGAATGAGATGATTACTTATTTGATCTGAAACACGACATTTTTTGTTATGTCAAGATCTGAAATGTTGGTATGACTTGAAATTTAATAGCCAAACGTAATTTTCGAGCTTTCAGTCTGACATATACGAGTACTTCATTTATGTAGTGGATCGAGTACTGGGCTTGAAACTTTAATCTGCGTGCGTACTCTACAGATTTAAATAACATATACTTGAAATCAATGTGGGTTTTACATTAGTTGACAAGTTGATGCATTGGTTCGTCGCTTTTGCGACGAGCTGATGTATTTTGTGTGAAAACTTGAATTTTTGACATTCTCTTTATTATAAGTACAGCTTTTTTCTCTCTTTCAAAAAGTTGAATCAACTTCAACTTTAGTGCGGAGGTTTTTTAAAACGTCAAATTTACGTGTACTGAACTATTACGATTACGTATATTTGTTGTCAAAAAAGTAGCCAGCTTCAAGCTGGATTCATTGGTTTGTCGTTTTTGAGCTGAGCTATTTAAAGTCGTACAAATTTTTTCTTTTGATTATTACTTTTTTGACAAGAATTATATGTAATTGCAATAGTTCATTGTGTATAAATTTGAAGTTTTAAAAACACCTCCGTACTATAGTTGTAGTTGATCCAACTTTTTGAGAGAGAAAAACAGCTGTAGTAAAATTTAAAAGAATGTCAACAATCGAAATTTTCATCTAAAATACATCAGTTCGTCGTTTAACTGGCGAACCAATCCACCTACGCTTATCTAAAATTTTTGCCTTACGATTTTTTAGGGAGTGTAAATGAGATAGAAACAAAGATGCTCTCTCCTTTAACATTTCTAATTCGTTTGGGAATATTATTTAAAAAGCACCTTTAGTAAAAAAAACTGTAGGACGAAACAAAAAGTAATTAATTTTCTTTTATTAAGTTATTTTTTATCATAGTTTTTGCAAAATTGTACAAGATGTTTCAACTTTTTATTATAAATAATTAAATATAAAAAACACATTCGCATCATTAACGCTTCAACAGTTTTCGAAACATATAATTTCAATAGCTTTAAAACGCAATCAAATTCTCAGTTATCTGTTGAATGAAGCTAAAAATTTGTATCCCTATTTAGATTGGTAATATTCATTAAAATATGCTGTCAGTTTTGATGTATTTATGATAATATATGTATGTATACAAAGTAGAAATTAAATTTTGGGGAATAAACTAAAAGTTTTCAAATATTTAATAATTAAAAATGTATTGAGTACTTTTACAGAAAAACACACTGTCTTAATGATTCTTTCTGAAATTAGTGAATTTGTAGTTGTTGACCAACTGCTAATAGAAAATGCGGTAATATATTTGAGAATTTGAAAACGAACTCAATCAATATATAAAAATTTTTTTTAAGGAAAAATATACATATTTTTTATCTCATTTGAGTTCGGATTTTGTTACAGGAGAAAATTTCAATCAAAAAGTTTATACTTCGAGCCATATAGGCAACATATTGTCATCCGTTTGTAAAGTAAGGTGTTTGACAAAATAAAATTATAGCGTACTCACTACATAAAACATGGTACTTAAATTTCACAGGGCATTCCTTTGAGATGCATACGAACCCTGAAAAACGGAGAAAAGGTTTCTTTACTATTACCGAATGGAAACACTTTTATAGTAACTATGTTTAAAGACGACGAACCCACAGGAAATGTCCTATTTCATTTTGAGAGTAAACTTATGAAATTTTAAGGATTAAAATTAAAGCATTTGAGTAACCTACATATATAATTTTATTTTAATTTTAGCTCACCATCATACAGCATTATACTTAGGCCATTTTAGGCAGATAACTAAAATTATTTGGAATAAAACTTTCATAGATCTTGTTTCCAAAGGTATTGATTATTTATATATAGACAACACAAATTCGAATTCAATGTTTCATTCTACTGCTACAGAAGTTAGTTATAAATTAAAACAATTGTTAAAGTAAGCACTAAGCACATTTTTGAAATATATCTTAATTTGTGTATTTAATTTAAGTTCCTATTTTTAGATGTCATACAAAAATCATTTTAAATACTCCATTATTTGGGTATGAAGATCTTGTTAAAAGTTTTGTACAAGATTTTGACCTTAAAATATTTATTCGCAATAATATTACTAAAAACGTATTTTATAAAACAAGTTATAAAACAAAATTCTTGTCATCATTTAATGACTGTGAAATTGCTTTAATCATGGATTCAGCAGATCTGGATTTAATAGAAAAGTAAATTTCATGTTTTAATACGAATTTAATAAGGTTAATATTTTCTTTGTATTGAATATAGACGCTTTAAAACTAAAAATATTGCAACCGTCCGACTTTTTGATTTTCAAAAAAAATTCGAATACAACAAATACGAAAAAATTGGTCTTTACCAGTTATGTTATTCATCTCACATATCACATATGGAGATTTTTTCTTTTATAAATTTAATTCAACCTAAGTGTATTAAAGAAATATATGCTGAGCTTTCTTCTGTTCCTAACTTTATCAAATCGGCTAGCAAACATTGGAAAGTAATTGACGAAAACTCGGGAAATTTAAGTCTTGAGGAAGAACTGAAGGAAATTGAAAATTTTGCGCCAAAAACTGCTGTAGATAGTCCTGAACAATTACAAAATTTTCTGGAAGAAACACTTTCGAATTATCAACTGACTGAAAACGTAACTATAAAATCATCAGATTGTGAAGAAATCTGCGCAAGTCTTGACGAATTGGACGACAAAATAAATACAGCTGCATTTAATCTTCCAAGAAGAAGGAAAATCAAACAAAAAGCTTTAACTCTAAATTGTAAGTGAAAAAAATTAAAATACAAATTGTGTTTCTATATTATATTACTATTTACTCTAGCCAGTTCTGATAGGTGGAAATATTTCGCTGAAAATGACAACAGCCCTCCCACTTCTATTGACAAAAAAGTTTCACTCTGTGAGAAAGAAGAATCAAAAAAAGATGAATTCGATTCTTTGATGAACACAAATTTTTCAAATTTTCCGTCGATTGCAAATATTGATAATTCTGAAATGATTGAAGTCATAGATTCTTCAGCTGTAGTGCATTCACCACAGTTAGAAAATGATAAACTGCAAATTAGTAGGAAACAAAAAGAACAGAATGAAAATTATTATTCTTTTTTGGATAATAATAGTAATTCTTCTAAAGAACTAAGTAATAGTGGCGATCGAAAAAGTGGTACGAAGATGGAAACAAATGCACAAAATTTGCAAGTTGCTATTTCTTACACTTTAGTTGAGCGCGCAATGGAAGAAATTCATAACGGCGGAGTGAAAATAGATGAAATGAAAAGTACCAAACTGGAACCCGATACAGTGAAATTTAAAAGTTCACAAAAATTTAATGCTTTGCGGAATTCCAATAGTTTGGGTGTAAATTTAGTAAATGAAAATGAAATAACAGAAAATGATGAAAAACATTCAAAATCAAAAAAAAATGAAACGAAAAATAATAACATAGAAAAAATTAAAAGAAATTGCACTGACAATAGTGACTTAAAACAGCATTTGTGTCTTATATTAGGAATCGAAGATGAAAAGAAGAGAAAAACTCAAGATCAGTCCATAAAAAAGGATACTGACATCAAACCCACTGATTCTGTTTTAACAAAAAAAAGAGTAAGCAAATCACCAAAGGTTATAAATAATAGAAAAAATAGCCTTACTAAATACTTGCGCAATGCAAACAGAAAAAGGAGGCGATCTTCATCAAATAGTTCTGTGGAAGCCATTGAAAAATGCGATAATGAAATCATAGAAATTGTTGACAATAGCCCTCCAATAGCACGTATGACAAGAAGCTCAATGAAAACTAAGGTTATTGAGGTAATAATTTTATCCATTTAATGACTTTTTTTGCTAATTCAAAATTCTGATTTGTTCGATTTCAGGTCAAAACAAAACGTGTTGTGAAAAAAATTCCTGAAATAAGACAAATGTACATAGATGATGATGATTGATGCTTAAGTTTAAAAATAATAATTATAACTTAAAATAAAACAAAAACAATTTTAAAAATAGAATTAAAACACGTACATATTAATATTCCAAATTTTATATTGGATATACATATTTATGTATGTATGTACAAACTAAATTTTAATCAGATTACCGAAATATTTAAATTTTTAAAAAAATAATGAGAAAAATTCCTGTTTTATTCAAGATTCGAAGATGTACATATCTGAAAAGAATATATTTTGAAAAGATTTGTAGAATAGTCCAACTCTGATGGAGTTCAAATTATTTTGTAATTAAAAAATAACGCAACTTGATCATAAAATCTTATTAATTTTTATTTTTAAAATACTATAAATATTTTTAAACAATGTACATAGTTTTGTTATAATTTGCAAAAGATTCTTTATATAAAATCTACAAATCATAAAATATGTTTGTGCATAACACATTTAAATGTTAAAACAAATTGGCTAAGGATTCTACTATAGAACTATCTCTGAACCTTCCTATTCTTAAAGCGTAACTTACAACATGTGCTACGTAGGTATTCTCATGAATTCGATGAAATAAATGAGCCATTGGACCTAAAATAAAGTTACAATATTTAACAAATTTATTTAACGTGGTAATGTAGAAGCTATGAAACTTAACAACTAACTCAAAAAGAAATTGGTGTGATAAAAATTTTTGATCAACTTTGACTTAATGCTGTTGCATCTTAGTTAAATATTTATGTTAAAACTCAAATTGCAAATAAAGTAAAATTACCCAAAGCATGAATTGTAACATCCGAACCCCCATGTGTATTTTCGTCAGTTAAAATTGCTGATTGTTGGATATAATCAAATGTTGTAGTGTCTTCACGACTGGGGTCCTTCCTTTTTGGCCTGCCATTTTCATTATCAATTTCTACTTGATAGCCAGAATAACTTGTACCATACGTCAATGTGGTGTACGGAATTCCATCAACTTTTGATTTAAATCCTATGCCTAAAATGTTGCTGCCATGTTTTGGGTAACCATTTATCGTTAAAGTGTGTGAATGATCGGCTGTTACTATAAATAAGGTTTCATCTAACTCATCTCTATTAAAAATATTTTTATAGTTTATCTTGTACAATCTCTTTTTAGAAATAATAATACTTCATTGCATTGAGGCTAGCGTTAACAGCATCATTTAATGCTAAAGTTTCTGAAAGAGCCTTTCGAGCAATACCCCTATGATGAGCTTGATCTATCATTCCACCTTCTACTATCAGCAGAAATCCTTTTTCTTTACTTTTTAAAACCTCAATCGCTTTCAATGTCATATTTGCCAGTGATGGCATACCAGCGGGGCCAGTGTCCCTTTCATGGTCATATTTCAAATGACCATTAGCGAATACACCTGAAAGTCAATTGAATATAAAAAAATATAGAATTTCTGATTGTGAGATGTATAGTTATTCTTCTATTTTTAGTCTAGGGATTGTTTATTTTATTACCTAAAACAAAGTCTGTATTAAAAGTATCGAAAGAATTTAAATCACTATTGTTACTTAACACTGCGAAAATGTGGCCAGCATCTTCTTTTTTCTTTTTCCATTCTTTAATTAAATCCCTTCCGTCTTTGGATTGACATGCCCAAGAATCAATTGGATCTGCTTTAGAACCTTTTGTCCCTGACACGAGGCACTGCCTTCCTCCACCCATTAACACCTAATGCGTGTGGATTTTAAAATTATAATAAATTTAAAAAGGAAGTACGTGTACATGTGTGTGAAAACATACAATAGGTACATACATTAGTATGGACATGTACATATATATGTATGCATGCGTACATAATATAAATATTTTCTATTTACATTTATATTTTCAGCGACTTCACTTTCAATTAATATTCTTGCAATGTCTTTACAACCATCTTGTTTTGAATGTTCCGGCATTGTTGCTTCACACTCCCATCTTCGATCCGGAACATTAGCGTATAATGATGCGGGAGTGGCGTGCGTTAATCGTGTTGTTGTAACAATGCCAGTTTTAATTCCATCTTCCTGAGCCCATTTTATAATACTATCTACATGATGATTCGGGTCTAGTGAAGCTGTGCAGTTACTTAATTTAACAGTTGAGTCTACACCACCAGTTTCGTAATTAGTTTTTACTCCACCAAATAGTGCTGTTGCTGTTGAAAACGAATCTGGTACTTGCTTATCTGCGCAATATGTCTATGAATTTAGATACATACATATATTAATTTATTATTTATACATAAAGTACAAATACTTACATATATATTTATTTATAATATGTACGTAGATTGTGTATTAGATGATTAGCAAGTACTTACACATATAATTATAAGATTACTAATTCAGAACGAAGGAATAATTTAAAAATTCATATAATATATAGTTGGAATTAATAAATGAGTTACTTAAATCTACATATGTATATGGTTGCATGTTAACAAATTTGCCTTAGTTTAGACAGTTGTCTCATTTCTGTAGATAGATCGAAGATATAAGTGTGTATAAATAACTTTTGCATATACTTATGTGACATAATTTCAACTTTAGGTATTTTATGCTTCTACAGCGCGATGATGCGATTCTACAGCGATTATACATATTGATAATTGAAATAGTTATTATAATAATCACACCTTCATACGTACACATCCTGAAAATTTTTGAAATCATCGAAAATCGAACCGGCGTTAAAATTTACCGTCGTTTTTCTTCTAGTTTTTCTGCAGGAGTTTGAAATTTCAGCAGCTTTTAGACACTAATAAATAGTCAATTTCGTTGGGGGAAAGTTTTTTTCCACCTCTCAAGTTATCGTCTCTCGAAATTAGTAAAATTCGAATTTTTGGCACTTTTTATTTCCGAAACTCTAAACTTTTCCAAATTTCTATAAACGCGGAAAGCTAACGGTAAATTTCATGCCGTTAAAAAATATAATTATTTTTCTTAACTCACGCACTTAACTCTTAAATTCGAGCATTATCAAGGGTTAATTATGTTATTTTTTTCGTTTTATTTCAAAGATTGCATACATTACTAGTCCTAAATATATGCAATCATTGAAATACATTCGTATATAAAGAAAAATAGTTTTAATATACATAGCTAGATTGTTACATAGTTAGTACATGGCTAGATTGTTTTTAAAATCAGTATTTCACTTGTTCCAACTTTATTTTAATTTTAATTAAAATTTTAAAATAACGTAAAGTTTAGAAAATAATTAAACGGTTTGAGGTAAACTGAAAGATAATTAAAAGGTAAACTGCATTAAGTGAAATAATGTCCTCTTTTTACGAGAGAACATTGTAGTACCCGCTCTAATATTATTTTTGTTATATTCGTATTTATATAAATTTTGCACGTTTGGATTGTTTTGACGGGAAATAAAACACGCATGTACATACATATGTACATATGTATATACTACATTTATTTTTGAATTTAATTTATATGTTTGTACATCGTTACTTTTTAAGGGATGGTTAATTATAATTAATTTCAACACCCGTCATAATAGCACATTTTATACATATATGTATGTAAATGTATGTATATAAGTAGTTACATATTCATTGGATCCAATATTATGAACATGAAATAAATAATAAAGTTTCTAATATATAACGCCATAACAGAACACGTGCAATTGGTCAAATTTTACTAGAAATTCAATTAATATTTAAATATAATAATACGAGTGCGTATTCATACATATATAGTTTTTAAGTACATAAAAAACTATATACAATGCATTATAAAGTTTAAAAAAAAAACATAAAAAAACTATGTAACATATTACAATAGATAAAATATTTTTTTACATTATGTACATAGATATTAAATAGTTTTACCTTAAGCATTCCCATATGTGGAAATTTTTCCCATGTTAGTAAGCCGTTCTCCTTAAAACCATAAATCCTTGAGGCTGTTACAGTATTAGGACCCATACCATCTCCAACAAATATTATTACATTTTTTGCCCTTTTCATATTTAATTTAACATTAAGAGCTGTTTTCAATTCTTCAATACCTTTGTCAAACCAAAATTTTTGTTCGTCTGGCAAATCAGCTCTCCAAAGTGGCACGGTTTTTACCGACTCATTTTCGATTTCATATCGAACCAATAAAGCAATGCAAAGAGTAGTAATAATAATAAATAGACAAAATAATATAATTGTAGCGAAACCAAGAAATAAATTTGATTTAAATAGTCGTCTAATACGTTCACGTTGTGTTTCACACTTTAAAATATTTTCAACATTTTCACTCGGATTTGATGGCAAATTTTTTTGTTCTATAGGCGCATCGTCAAAATCAAAACGCCGCCGAGATTCCATCATATTTCACTCATGCAAAATTTTTTTTAGAAAGTAAATGGTTTTTGATTATAGTATATGTATCTTCAATGAAATTTATATAACTGATTATGTTAAAATTAGTTTTTACATCTTTCCCATTGTGTGTTTGATTTGATTTTGTTTATCCTTCCTATCTTGATGTTGTTGTAGAGTTATAATAATAAAATAATGATAAACAAGTAAAGAAATAAAAGTTTTATTATTGTAAATAAAAATATGCTATTATTAACTGTATAAGCTATATATGAATGAACGTAAATGATAAAATTGTTATTTTTTTTACTCACTTTTAAAAAGTCTTAAGAAGAAATCACAATAAAAATAATATGATAATGTGATGACTACTCTCAGTCGATTAAACATGTAATTAAAAGGTAATTATTATATTTATAACACTTTATTATAGTAATACAATAATTTAAAAATTTAGAGGTTGTTAGTCGTTGATTAAATAACTTTTTATCAACGTATCAGTTAATTTTTTAACTGATCAGTGTGTTTTCTGATAAGTTAATTAAATTAAACACACAAATATGTAACATGATCCATTAATATAAAAGAACATTAATTAAACTCATTTAATTAATGAACTAAACAGTTCTTGGAATCATATGCCAATGCAAGTATATGGGAGTTTTCGAAAATTCAGTTCTAACTTATGTCTTAATATAAAGCATGTTCGATAAATGAAAACTACAAAATCTTCAAATGTAGCATGTTCAATTTATAGTCTTTACTACAAAAGAAGCACGTTCGAAAATCACAGCATCGCATTTTTAAAGATATTTTTTTAAATGCTGCAAAGTTTGAAAAAAAAAATACCGCTGAAAAATGCAACATATTAAAAATCTGAAAAATAAGGGTGATTTTGATAATTCAATATACATATGTACATATGTACATACTTAAAAATTAAATAATTTACACGACAAAAAGACGCTCCAACAACTACAAACTTGATATTAGCATAAACAAAAAGTTTCTTTTAGTTGTGAAAGTAGTAAGATTGTCATAAATGTTTTTTAAATTTTCGAAAATGAAACCACAAAATTTTATTATTTATAGTTCGCTTAAATATAAATTTGATTGTCAAAATAATAAACACATTTTTTTGACCTGCTGTTCAGTGCTTTATTGTCAAACAAAGGACACATTTAGTACTAAGTTAGAAGAACTGAATTGTCAAAAACTAATTAATTCCTGTGGATCTGTACTGATACAAAAAAAAATATTTTTGATTCTGAAAGATATCTAAATTACCCTATGTACACAAACATTAATATACATAATTACAGCCGAAACTAAAAAAATCATTTAAATTTAGTACATACTTACATACATACATGTATGTACATCTTTCTCCCCAGCCACAGTAAAGAGAATAAAAACTCTGAATTGATCATTGAAATTATCACACACTACATACATATGGATTTTTTTTAACGTTTATATAAATTAATTAATAAAATTTGTTAAATTCAAATCAAATAAATCTCGCTAATCTTAAAAATTTACAGCACACAAAAAATCTGCATTAAGGGGAACATATGCACGTTACATATTATGTTCGCATAACATTAAATAATTTCAAAACTGTAATTAATGGGGTTGGTATAGTTATGGGCGAGTGTTCTTGTTTTCGAATTTGTTTAAATTTATATTATTAATTTTCCGTAAATTAAATTCATATATTACTATTAGTAGACGTATGATACATAGTATTAATCTACTAAGTCTATTTTGCAATTTTTTGTCAATTATGAACTTTTAGCAAAGGTTTATTAGTTAAAGGTAAGATGCTAAGAACGGATTTTTTAGCTGCCTTTTGCTCGTGTGTAGTTAAGCAAATTGTTATGAATTTTTATGTGAATTTTTTATGAATTTTTATGTCATAAATTTTTTATGAATTTTATGAATTGGCGAAGCGAATAAGAGCACTACTTTCTTTTATACAAGACTGACCTAATTTTTTTCGCTTCGCGAACCATAATTTCATTTAGACGAATTCGAGAAAAATGACATTCGCTTCAAGAACCATAATGATCCCTAAGTCATATAATGTTTTTCTCTTTCATATCATAATTTAATAGAGTTTGCAGTTATATACGTTGACATTATCAAGGCTCTACTTTGCGTTGTTCTGCTTTTTTGTGAAAGGATCAGTTAAAATTTCATAACATTTACTTTTGACGATTTTTGGTTTTTAAGGGTTTTTGTCTTTAAGTGAAGTTTTTGCAGAATTAATTAAATTAAAAGTAAAAAAATTTATATGAAAATAAAGTTTAGAATTTATTTTTTTGTGGCAAAAAAATCAAGATCCTAGAGGAATTTTTCAGTAAAATATGGATTTTTAAAAAAAAGCGTTCCTAAATTTTTACAAAGATAAAGTGCCTTATCTTTCAATACAGTAAATGGAAAACAAAATGTGCTGTACATATTATTAAAAAAAGTAAATTTTCTGTATAAAACATTTTCAAATGTAATTTTAAATATTTTACTAGAAGAAAAATTTTTGAGTTTTAAATTAATTTTAAATAATTTTACAATAAAATTTATTACGAAGTAGTAAAGAGAATAGGAAAATATTAAAATTTAATTAATATGAGAATATTTAAAGCATTATTATTTATATTATGTAATTATTAATATTTATATTATATATATATATATATATATATATATATATATATAATATAAATATATATATATAATATATATATATATATATTTATAATATATAATTTTTTCTAAGTTTTGTACATATACGTACATACTTACATATGCGATTATGTGATGCGATTATTTTTTTTGTTGTATTTTTTTTAGTTTTCCTAAACTAAAATGCTTTAATCTTAGGTAAGTGGATCATGCCTACTGGCATAGACTCCTATAATGTACTATATTACTAATAACTTTATATTACTAATGTAATATGAAGTTATTTATATTAAGTTAAATAATTATTTGATTATATTATAAGTCAAATATATGTAAGTAATAAATTTGAAAATATTATTTGTGAATGGCAAATATCAATAAGTTTTATGTATAACAATTTGCAATATTTAGCAGAAATAGAATCAAATTTAAAACTTATTTCACGAAATTCAAAATTTTTTTATGATATGGAATGGATAAACGACCCCCATAAAGCAATAAATTTTGCCATATAAGAATAATGCAATTTCAATAGATTATGATAAATACATAGCGTTAAAAGAATTTAACTCAGTTGTGGATCGGCCATACTCAATTGAACCACGAATATTGTGTTCGTAGAAGTAGCCCCTCTATTTCACACATAACGGAAATCTTCTCCCGTTTATAGCTCGGAAAGGATACAAAATCAAAGTGACTGCAGACAAATTAAGTACTTTCTTCTTCTAGAAAGTAAAATTTTTTCGCATTATTTGATTAAATTTAAGGAAAGAGCAGAAACGAAAATATAATAAATAAAAATAAAAAATTATGTGTGAATTTAAATTGATATGTAAGAAATTTAAATATCCAAAGTGATTTTCTTCTTTGTTTTAAAACATCTACTAAAGAACAAGAACTGTAATATGTAATAATTTAGTTAGTCTTAAGCACTTATACACATACATATGCATTTTACTGATAGTTACAAGGGCTTTAACAATCTAACAATAAGGCTGACAAATCAATTAAAAAAAATATTTACGTAATACCAAGACTCTTTTGCACCAGACACCTTTACTCTTAACTTTTCAAAAAACTAAATACTATTTTCATTAGCATCACCAGTGTTATCTTTTTTCGCGCAACAGAAATTTTGCAATTATTTTGATTTGTTGATTAAAAAATAAAAAAGGATTTGTGCAATAGGGATCAGATTATGTTTAATTGAAAAATAGGTTTTAATTTCTGTACTATACGTTTATTAAAGTTTGAAAAGAAAAGATATTCACAATTTAATTGTTTTTAATAAATTTATAGTAGTAGTGTTTTTATATTTATAATAACTTCCATTTTTCAAAACGTTTTTTTTTGCTTTCAGTGTTTAAATAGAGAAAAATATTTTGGTTGTTTTCCTTTATTTTATTTTAATAAAAAGTATTAAAAATATTAAATGAATATATATTTAACACACTTGAAAATTTTTTTTTGTATTTTATTTGGAAAATTTGGAAAAAAACAATATCTATTACTATAATTGTAATTATAATTATAATTTAATAAACGAATACAAATAATATTGGGAAAGTTAAACATACGAATTTTTATTCTAAATTGTAAACAAGAAAAAAAACTAAATTAGAACTAAAACCTTGCCATATTACAACTTGAAATATTAACATTTTTTTTTTATTTTTTATCTCAAATTTCAAATATTACGTATTTTACTAAAATTTTGTGTAAAGAAATCAATAAATGTAGAAATAATGTTTACGATTTTGAGGAAAAAATACTGAAATTATATTAATATAAATTTGCACTTGAAACAAAATAGAATATTTAACAAATTTGTTTAATAATATGAAGATTTCATGGGATAATCTTAATATTTCCAGTGGTTCTAAAAAGAACATATAATTTTAAATTGAATCGACATAAGTATTGTAAAATTAATAAGAAAAAATTTTAGTAAAATTCGTAGAATCTTTGAAATTTAGTTGAAATGCTTTTTTGTTAAAGATACATATGCGATTGTAGTTCTATTATTGTGTTTTTAAAGTATAAAAAATTTGTTGAAATCTATAATATTGACAAATAACCTAAAGCACATAATATTTATATGAATATGTATATATTTCAAAAATAAAGATCTTTATTAAAGCAATATGAACAAAAAAATAAAAAGATTTTTTTTTATTTTTATTGTTTTTAACAAATTTTAGCTGCAACTGCAGCTTCTCTCAGCTTTTTTGATGTTTATACATCTATATTTCTTCTTTATATGTCATCGATATCAATTTCATCTCCATCTTCATCTTCATCAATAACTTTTTTAGGAGCAACTTTTGGTGTGACATCACTTTTTTTGAGCAGATCAATCCTTGCTCTGTCGTCATATTCAATTTCAACTTCAGAATCATCTTCATCATCTTCATCAGATTCCTCCTCTTCAGCTTCTTGTAACCATTGCAAAAATGGTTTCGCTTTCTCATGAATTTCAGTTGCAACTTCTTTACTTACATATTTTTTGCTAACCTTTTGCCCCCATTCTAATATTGCTTTTTCTTCAAGTATATCATTGTCATAAAATAATTTTAAGATTCCAGCAACTTTATCCATTAATTTAGCTGAGTGCAATGCAATAATTTGTTCAATACCACCGATTAAATAACGTTGAGCTTTTAAATTATTATGAGTGAAACGTAATAATAAATTACGATGTTTCCGTACCTCTTGTATAATATTTGGTGAGAATAGTAGCTCAGCTAATACTAACGGGGCTTTATGTGTTATATCTAAACGTTCAGCTTCAACGGCCAGTTCTTTGTGTGTTTGTAAATTTTCCAATTGACCAGCGTCACGCTTCTTTTTAACCAACTCATAAAACATGTCAACACGTTCTTTTTCTGATTTTTCAACATCATCTGATATTGTCATTCCTAAAATCGAATGCAAAGTGATTTTGTATTAAATAAATTGTTATAATTTTAAATATGTATTTCTAAAATTTCTAAAATTGTTTCTGTTTTAAATAGCAAACAGCATTTACCTTTTGCTCCATCAGTTAAATCTTCAAGACGCTTACGCACCGCTGCTTCTGACACATCAGTTGTCCAATTTTCATCGTCATCATCTTCAACGTCCTTTTTTGGTATTGCTGCACCAATTAACGCCTCAGTTTGACTTGCTTGATTTGCTTCATCATCATCATTAGCTTGTACATTAGAGTTATTAGCGGATTCAGTTCCGCCGTTTTCTTCACCACCTTTTTTAGAACGTTTACTACGTTTACCTTCAGTTAATGATGATCCTTGTGTTGCTGGATTCATATTTGGTGGATTTTTTAATATGAATGTATTTACTTTATGATTCACTTCAAGTGGTCCATGAAAACCGCATGCTTTACATCCTTGCGATATAGTACCTTTTTTTGATGATACAAGTAACTCAGTTTCAGGATTATCACACTCTGGACATAAAACAAATTTCCGTATAAAACCATCAAGAAGGTCTTGTAACTTTGATGCATCGTGAGATCCATTAACAATAAAACGTTCATTCTATTTTTATGTAAAGATGAAAGAGAAAAACGAATAAAAAAACTAAGTAGGTAAATATGAACTTATTTTCTTATTTATTTTATACCTTATGATCGAATTGAGTTTGCGCACCCAATTCACAACCAAAATATTTTGTTGGGTATGTAGCTGGACGTCCAATTGCTTTGGCAACTTCGGCCATATTAACGATAACTGTTTTAATGCCATTGCCTTTGCCTTCAACTTTTGCCATTATACGTGGCATTTTATAACGATAAAATACGTCGGTCACATTACGATTGACATTTACGGTACCCATTTTAATTTTTTTATTATATTAACTTTTGTGTAATAATATATCTTTCTAAGTTTCTAAATTTTACAGCGAGCAATATAATGATGATAGATATATGTTTGCTTGTTTTACTTTTGTTTAGTTTTTTGAATATATTTTTGCGGCTTTTGTATATATGTAAATTTTGATATTTAGATATTAATGTAGGCTTAGAAGTTATATTTTATATGGTTTGAAAATAATATATAAAACAAAAACTTTTTAAAGCTTGTTTTTAAATATATAAAACTCGAGAACATCAATAATTTAAGGAAAAAATTGATGAATGGTGAAGGATATGAAGCGATTCCAATCAAAGTGCACGATGTATATTTATTTGTATATGCATATGTGTGATATACAAACTGACGTATATAATGAGTACATTTAATGTGTAGATGTACAATTTATAGTCAATTTTTTCGAAATCCAATTTTAAGTATACAACAACGTTTTTTCGAATTAAATAACCATGAAAAATGTTGTCTTCAAAATTAATTAAATTTTGTAATTCCTCTGTTGTTGCTATTGAGCTGTTTCCTCAATAATGCCTTTTTTATTATTGCTATAATTTTACAGCACCGTTTTATTTTTTTTTTTATAAAAACTTCAGTTTATATTTTTAATATATTGGTGGCTCCTTATGAAATCATAAGCAATTTTTCAATATTTTTAAAAAATGAATTTTAACCACCCTTTACATTTACGATGTGTTTGTTTTAGCAATATTATTTAAATTATTGTACAAATTAATTAAATTTGAATAATTGACTCTAGTTGTTGCTCTCCCACAATATGGTGATAATGCTTCTATTGTTTTTAATGTTGATGATGGTTCTTTAATTACTATTGTTTTTGATAAAAGATTTCGTAATATCTTTTTGTTAAGAAATTGATCATTTATATTTTGATGTTGTGGTTGATATTGCTGCAGTTTTATATATAGTTGTAATAATGGATTACCACTATTAATAGTAGTAATTTTTGTTGAGTTCAGTTTTAATTTTATAAATTTTTTTTCTTTTATTGATAAATTCATGAAGTTTAATTTTATTATTATTTAATCAAAAATTTCTTATTTTATTCGAAAAATTTTTAAAATTAAAAAATAAATGTATTATTTTCTTACGGTTTTAAATTTTTTTAAGTGTTTCAATTTTTTGAATCTTAAGAATAAATGATCAATATCAAACAATAAATGATCAAAAATAAAAAAAAAAGTTTTTAATTTGACTATTGAAAGTAAACCTTTCTTGGAAGTGGTTTTAGATTTTCTTCCCTTTTGAAATTAATTATTTTTATACTAATTTTTTAAATTTTAAAAATTTACAATGATTAATAAACTTCCAAGTTATTTGATTTTTTATTTTCAAAAAATTGTTTCCAAAAAATAAAATGAAAATCGAATTGTTAGACTCAAAGTAATAATGCAAATTGTTATACTGAAATATTTTTTTTGTAAATATTCTTTCTTTTTTTTTTAAACGGCTCCCTATATATGTATCTTTTTTATACTATAAAAACTAAAATTTATTTAAATAATCCTCTTTTAATCTCTAAAATATTCTTTCGTTTCTTTTGTTTCCAATTAGTATTTTATATAGTATTTTATATTTAAGCAATATGCAATCAAAAAATATTTAAAGAAAAAAATATAAGAAAATTCTAAGAATTGAACTTTGCTTTTATAATACAAAACAGTGTCTAATAGAGTGAAAATTTTAATTAATTATGAATGTGTAACTTAAAATAAGAAATACCCTCTCTTATGTACGTAGTAGAATTTGTTTTTCTTCAAAATTTAATTTTCAATATAATATTTAAATTTTTGCTTTTCTTTCAATCATATATATATATATATGTATATATAAGCTATATATACGTTTATGCTTGTAGGAACATATATACATATATTATATATTTGAAATAATATATATACTTCAATAATATATTACTAATATAATGAAGATAATACTATTAATATATATTGTAGTTTAAACAGAGTTCCTATATCTTAGCCTTTTCTTGTGTAATTTTCGTTTTGAATTCACTATGACTTTCACTTTTACTTATATATTTAAAATTATACTTTTTTATTTTTAATTAATTTTTTTACTATAATTACTTAATTTAATAGACTGTGAAGGTTAATTCTTTTTTTAAATTATATGCATGTATACACATATGTTCATATATATATTCCTATATATAGAATTTATAATTAGGTAATTTATATCCTTTAAAAAAAACCTCACGTTTCTCTAAAAGGTTGCAATTTCCGATGTCTATTACTGGAAAATTTTGAAGTCCTAAATAAAGAGAACAAAAAAAGCAAAAAAAATTATTCATTATATTGAATAATAAGAAATGTAGCTACATATTTAGAGAAAAACTAAAACAAAAGATTTTGAAAAGAATACTTGAGAAAATTTTAAATACCATGCGAAGAAGATCCTTTTTACTGTCGGTATTGTGAATACAATAGGTAGATTGTTGAAACAAATTTTGCATATTGAGTTTTCGGTGGGAATGCACTTTTCCATGGTAGGGAAGTGTAAATAAACTACTTTTAGCAATCTGTAGGTCTGTCAGTCTGTCGCGCATGTATCCCAGTTTGGCTGAACCGATTTTGATGAAATTTTATATGTAAGTTTATTTTGACTATGGCACGGATTGATCAACTTTTATAATATATCAGACCTCGGGAACTGCACTTTTTAGCGGGCCTGTTTCACGTTTTTGACCATTTTGAAGAAAATATCCAACCGATTTACTTGAAATTTCATATATAAACTTCGCTCGACCGTCCGCGACACCTCCTAACTTTTGGAAGAAATCAGGCATCAGCAACTGGACGTTTGCTATGGGCCAAATGAACATTTTTGCGTATATAAAGAGAGATAATCAACCAATTCATTGAAATTTAATATTTAAATTCTTCGTATTAAAACAATGAACATATAAAGTTTTTGGAAAGATTAGGGCTCGAAAACTGGTCTGCGGACCGATTTTACCTTTTTCACCATATCTACGGAATGAATTGATTTAATTTTGTGAAATTTGATATTTGAGTGCTGGTTGTTATCCAGCGAAACTCTACTAAGGCACAAAACGAAACTCTACTAAGAGCCAAATTTACATTTTTCTATGTATGCTAACTGTAAGCTTACTAATGTCCTAAAAATTGGAGAGAAGTATTTAACAGACACTTTTACAATATTCTGTAATACTGTTACTTAACTAGACAATACACTGTGGTCGGTTAAGTGCTGACTACATCAGATTTTTTTATTTGCATTATTAAATAAACATTGTCGCTTCTATACAAATTTTGATGTTCATTTTGGTAACAATATTATTTTATTCGTATCATTGCCAGTGTGATTAACATAGCAAAATTTATTTTGAAATTTGTATTTCAGACGATACAAGCCCTTTTATTTAAAACATAGAAACTTTGAGACATATTTTATGTTAAACACAGAAACTTTGCGAAACTTGTTTCGAAAAGTGTTCCGGGTATTTTTTGACACAGAATTGTTTTGACGAAGATTCATTTAAAAAATATTTTTGTCTCAGTCCGTATTTCCATACTGGCCGTGTTCTTCTTAATCACTTTAGTTTTTCTAATAAATGTAGTACCTAATTATCATCAACTGAATCTTGTGAAAAATAATGAAAAAATGATTATAGTCAGTCAAGATGATTAATTATATTTCTTTTCACCAAAATATTTGTGTTAATAAAGGTTCTGTGATAAGGCTCTGCATTTTGGCAATTAGAAGAAGCGTAGACAAGATTTAAAAATGATATTCCTGGATTTTGTCCGACGAATTTAAATTTGCTTTAATTGTCAGTTAAAGCGGCAAAACAATGCTGCAAAAATTAGCAAGCAATGTAATGAACATTTTTTTTGTTAGCTATGGGTACTGTCTACAGTGTATCAGTCAGTTTTAACTGAAGCTCCATGTATTTGTTGTTGTTTGAAAAGAATGAGAAAAAGTTGAAATGTTTTTAATTTTTCGTCAGTTCTTCAGTAATTTTAATTTTAATTGTTCCAAGTTTCATATCAAGTATGTAACTGTTATTACCGACCGTATTGTGTAAACAATAGGTAGGTTATGTGATGGCAACAAATTTTGCATATCGAGTTTTCGATGGGAACGTACTTCTCCATAGTAGGGAAGTGTAAATAAACTATTTTTAGCAACCTGTCGGTCTGTCGGTCTGTCGGTCTGTCGGTCTGTCCGTCTGTCGGTCTGTGTGTGCACGCGTGTATCTCAAGTTCGGCTGAACCGATTTTGATGAAATTTTATATGTAAGTTTGTTTCCACCATGGCACGGATCGATCAACTTTTGGTATATATCAGGCCTCGGGAACTGCACTTTTTAGCGGGCCTGTTTTACATTTTTGAACATTTTGAAGAAAATATTCAACCGATTTACTTGAAATTTTTTATATAAGCTTTGCTCGATCATACGCAAAAATTCCTAACTTTTGGAAGAAATCAGGCATCAGCAACTGGGCGTTTACTACGGACCAAATATACATTTTTGTGTATATAAAGAGAAATAATCAACCGATTTCATTGAAATTTAATATATGAATTCCCCGTATTAAAACAATGAACATGTAAATTTTTTGGAAAGATCAGGCATCGGCAACTAGACCTTTACTACGGGCCAAACATACACTTTTGTGTATATAAAGAGAAATAATCAACCGATTTCATTGAAGTTTAATATGTGAATTGCTCATATTAAAGCAATGAACATATAACTTTTTTGGAAAGATCAGGGCTCGAGAACTGATTTGCGGGCCGATTTTACATTTTTCACCATATCCACAGAACAAATTGATGGAATTTCTTGAAATTTTATATTTGAGTTCTGGTTGTTACTGAAACTAACTGGCGAGCATTTCAGGGAATTCGGGTACACAAAGCGAAACTCTACTAAGAGCCAAATTTACATTTTTCTAAGTATGTTAACTATAAGCTTACTAATGTCCTAAAAATTGGAAAGATGTATTTTACAGACATTTTTATAATATTCTGTAACACTTTCATTTAACTAGACAATACACAATGCGGTCGGTTATGTGCTGACCACATCAGATATTTTTTTATTCATATTTTTGTTTCGTTAACTGTTTTTTTTTATTTTTTTAAGTTTACGAGAAAATTAATAAATAAATACAACCAATGAACATTTGGAATATACGTATATCGTCACTTTTGATTTTTATTAGCTTGGATTATTTTTTTTTTTGTTGTATTGGTTATACCGACTACCGGCTATAAAGTCCGAATTTGGTCGGTCCCTTGGGCGTCGTTATAAGCGAATTCCACATCTGATATTGTAAATTTCGCATATCTGATATTGTATCATTAATCAATGATGTTATTAAGAATATGAATTAAAAAATTATATAAATAGCATTGAAATGTTAGTTTATTCTAGTTAATTATTTCTAGTTAGAGTTAAAAACAAAAATAATTTGAAAAATTCAGGTGTATGAATTATTAATGGTTAGAATCGTATTTGTATAATTTCGAGTGAGAAGAATTATTCGGAATTGCAAATTTCGTTTTTTTCTAAAATGTATACATAATTTATTTACTTTGGGTCCTTATTTACTTTCACTCCTTAATTTTAGAAAAACATAAAAAAATTAAAAAAAAAGGGTAATCTTATTGAAAAAATGAAATATAACGAATATTAAATGAATAATGGATAAATATGGTTATTAAATATAAAAATGGATAATTATGGTTTGAAAGTGAATAAAAAGTGAGTAAAAAAGCGAGATTAGGCTGTTATACGATTAGGCTGTTAGTCTAGAGTTTTCAGTCACACGAATGATATTCCTGGTGGTTTGGGTAAGGATAAACAGGGTAGGCTACTAATCGTTCGCTGACCCAGAGCAGTAACTGTTTAATTTCTAACCAAATACTTGCAACACCTTCACGTTGTGGCCACTGTTGACTAAGCTTCCAATACCCATTGGATCCTTACACTAAAATTGCAAGGACTTAGGTCGTTCTAGATGAAAGTGGATCGTATTGCTAACAACTATACATCTCAAAAAGCTCACCGTTATGAACGCTTCACAAGTGCTTCGGATAAATAACGATAACAATGAATCACAACCTCCGCAATGTAAAAAGGACTATGATATGAATATCGGAACATGGAATATAAGAACAATGATACAAGTAGCGAAAATGCAAGAAATTGCGAATGAATTGATTATAGTTAATCGGAATCTCAAAAAACATGTCATTGAATCCAACCCAATCTGTAGGAGATCGCCCAACGGCAGAACAGTAAATCAGATTGACCATGCACTAATATCAGCCAGAATGTCGTCGTCGTCAATAAATGGAGTAAAAAGCTGTATAGGGGCAAACTATGACAGCGATCACTATTTATTGAAAACAGTTATACGCCAAAAAGATATCAAACTAATGAACTAAATAAAGTTGGGTCAAACCAATGGTTTGTATTGTAGCACTTTTCCTTTGAACAAGTGAAAACACTGCGTCTAAAAACAACCTAGCTATGTATGTACTATATTATTAAAATTACTTTCATTCATATACAAAACTATTCCAAGGATTGCATACATTTAGGATGAGTAATGTATGCAGTTTTCGAAATGAAGGAAAAATAAATTTAAAAACGGGATAACATATTTTTAATGGCAATGTGTTTACTGTTATCTTTCCGCTTTTATAGAAAATTGAAAAAGCTTGCGGTTTCAGAAATATAAGGTACCAAAAATTCAAATTTTGCAAAATTCGAGAGGCGATAACTTCAGAAAGGGGTGAAGGTGGGAAAAAAAATGCTTCAAACAAAACTATTTATTAGTGTCTAAAAGTGGTTAAAATTTCAGACTATTACAACGTACGGTGTAGAAAAAAAACGGTATCAAAAGTTTGGAAAAAACGGACCTTAAACAACAGTAAATTGTAACGGTGATTTTGCTTCTTTAAATTTCAAGGCATTTTTAGGGTTTCAGAGATATAGCTTTTAAAGGGGGGAGATAGATAAAAATTTTCTTCTACGGAAATAAGTTTCTAGTAAAAATCTATATACCTATAAGATTTCAGCTTTCTATCTGCAAGGGTGTAGAAGTTTTGTAAACAAGTCCACGGACGGACGGATGGACAGAGTGAAATTAATAAGCGCAGCACCAATAGGCAAGAAAATACCCTACAAAATATGACAATTAGAGAAGAATGGCTACAAATCAGAGGAGCAGTGGTTGGAGTTAATACAACGATTGTAATAGAAGCACTGGAAAGAAGTTTAGAATGGTTTGATCAGGATTGCAAAAATGCAATTGGAACCAAAAACTGTGCTTGATCAAATATGTTACAAAGGAATAGAGATAATTATAAGCAGAAAAGGACAAGAGCTAAAAAAAGAAAAAAGAATGGCTAAAAAATGAAATACAAGACGAACATAACAATAAAAACTTATAACAGAAAACGATATAACATATGGGCATATTTTGACGAGCTTTTGAATATAGAAATAAGTGAAGGCGAAGTAGGGGACTGCTTTATCTCTTCTGCAGAACCTATGACAACATCAGTAACATATGACGAAGTTAGAAAAACAATTTATAAATTAAAAGTCTGTAAATCTCCCAGAGAAGATATGATAACAGCAGAGCATAACTATTATTTATTGCAGTATTAAAGTATGTAATTGAAGAATTGGATCGACGAGGGAATATTTTTCTGAAGTCCCATCAGACAGTTGCATATGCTGACGATACAGCTATTCAAGAAGTCAAGAAGTTATAAGAGGCTTTCATTCTGCTGGAAATGGAAACAAGAAAAGTTGGATTCACAATAAATGAGACCAAAACAAAATATTTAAAAATTTCCCGAAATGAAAAACAAAGAACTCCACAAATTGTAGCAATTGGAAAATACAATTTTGAGGGAGTTGGAAGCTTCTGCTATCGCGGAGTAATTATAGGTAACAGCTAATCAAAACTGCTATCACGACAAACATCAATCAAAACTGCTATCAAGACAAACAAAATTGATAGTATATAAAACTATAATACTATAAACGGTTATAAATATTATGAAACTATAAAAGTGACGTATGGATGTGAAATACGGACATTAACAGCACATGACGAAGACAACCTGAGAATAATTGAAAGAAGAACACATCGAAACATTTTTGGAGCAAGAAGGATAAGTGATGACGAGTTTGAAAGAAGACGAATTAGACCAATCAATTAAGCATAAAGATGTTATACGTTACCCGAAGTCGCAGCGATTAAAATAAGCAAGCCATATTGCTAGGATGGGAGAAAATAGAACGCAAAATAATATCTTCCGTACTAAACCTGTGAACCCAAGAGTAAAATGTTGGCCAAGGGACTAGGTGGATGGACAATATAGAAAATGGCAGCAGAGTTATAAATATCCACGAACATTCCAAGATAGAACTAATAGCGACAAATTGTGAAGCAGGCCACAGCTCACCTTAAGCTGTAGAGCCACATGAGATGAGCGTATGAGAAGAGGTAGTGGTGAGGAAAAGTACCTTTCATTTAGAAACAGAAAATTTACATGTTGATAATGCACAATTTTCTTATTCAGAATTATACATTTTAAAAAATGTCTTTTGTTCTATAAACACTTCGTTTGAATTATTTTTTAATCTTTTGACTTCAGCTTTTCGCCTGATAAACAATGTTATATCACAATGTAGGTCAGAATGCCATATATCACTTACCGTAAAAAGGTGATAGTAACATGGTATTACAAATAAATGACGTTTAAGGTAATTTTATTGGAAATTTTTTTTTAAAAATCTTGGTTTTGCACTTAAATATCTCTTGAATTAAAGATGTGTCTAACATCGATGATACATCACTAGTTGAAAATGGAATTTTATGAGCTTCAAGATGACTGACTACACGAAGTTAACATTACTTGCCATATTCCCCAAGTTATAAATTAAAACGGAAAAATTGAAAATTTTTTAAAAACACAAACTTTGAGATATCATAACCTAAGAAGAGTCCAAAAATGAAAATTTTAATTGGAGTTTTTTGTTAGTTTGGGCGCATTCTACGTCAATCAATCGAAAATTTTTATTTTTGTTATTCATAATTCTCTAAAAATATAGTTAAAAGTTCAGTTAAAAATAATTAACCTTTTGGTTGAGGACTCAAGCGAAAAGACACACTAGTTTTAATTAACAGTTTTTGTTTAAGAATTAGACACGTGAATTAGTAAAAATCGATATTTGAATTTGCTTGTAAAGTATTTTCTCAATTATGCAAAAATGACATTGTCCGCAAATTGTGTGTAAAACCGTCTTGATAATCATTTACATTCACATTTAAAAATCTAAAGTTTAAATATGTAGAAAAAAAACGGAAACACTGCTTCAGATGGGGAAATCTTAAGTTTGGTCTCCTATTTCACTTAATGTTTCTCTTTCTGTACCTTTAAATATATTGACATATCTCACATTTTTATTACAAGCAAGTTTTTCTTATTGAAATTAAAGGGTAAGATGTTAAATACGAATAATTATTAGATTAACAGATATCACGTCAGAATCCTCGGGCTAAGTGAAATCAGGTGGGCTGGTGCAGGTGAAATTACGACGTCCAGTGGAAACAAAATGGTATACTCTGGTAATGAAGGCGGCAGTAACTATGGTGTAGGAATATTGATGGACAAGACAATAATAAATAGCTTAATGAGCTGGAAGGCAATATCAGATAGAATAATATTGGCCAGATTCTACACCAGAATGAAAAAGATATCAATAATTCAATGTTACGCCCCAACTGAAATTGCTCATGATGAAGCCAAAGATACATTCTACAACCAACTCAGCACAGCTATCAATAGTATCCCCAAGACTGACATTGTAATATTACTGGGGGACCTCAATGCCAAAGTCGGTGCTCAGCAAGATTCAATCCCGAAAAGCATAATGGGATCACATGGTATGGGCACTATTAACAACAATGGGGAGCGTCTGGTAAACCTGTGCCTAGAATACAACATGGCTATCGGTGGAACTCTCTTCCCCCATAAGAACATCCACAAATACACATGGGAATCGCCCGATGGAAGAACCAAGAACAAGATAGACCATATATGCATCAGCAGAAAGTGGAAACAATCATTATTAGACGTCAGAGCCTGGAGGGGCGCAGATATTGACAGTGATCACAATCTTCTCACTGGCGACATAAGACTGAGACCAAGTAAGATAAGAAACACACTACAAAGAAGAAAGCGTAAACTACCAACTTACAAATTAAAAATGGAGGGTACGAAGCAGGAATTCGTATCAAGTATACAACAAATAAGCCAAAGTACAAACATAAGCAATATACAAGAAATGTATAGACAGATAGCGGACGAAACACTGGGAACAATTGAAAACACAAGAAAAATATGGCTTTCAAACGATACTTGGTCGAAAATAGAACATAGAAAAAAATTACGAACAAAAATGCTCACACAGCAAACAGATGACCTAAAAGCAGAATATAGAGAAGTTGCGAGAGAGGTCAAGAGATGCGCCAGAAGAGATAAGAGAAGATATTATGATTCGATAGCAACAGAAGCACAGTCAGCAGCCGAACAAAATAATATGCGCCTCCTATACAACAAGATCCGAACTCTAGCCAACCATAGAACAAGACTCAGCCAGCCAATCAAAGACAGTAATGGTCAACTTCTGACTTCTGCCCAAGAACAAATGCAAAGATGGAAGGAACATTTCGAATATATGCCCACCACTATTAACCAAGCGCAAGCAAATAATGAATCGCTAATAAGACCACCACCTCTCAGAATCAACCAGAACCCTCCATCAAAAAGAGAAATCATGGAAGCAATAGCAAAAATGAAGAAAAACAGAGCTGAAGGTCCCGATGGCATTCCTGCAGAACTACTTCAGGCAGATCCTAAAACAACATCAGATATTCTGCTTCCAATCCTGGTAGAAGTATGGAATAGTGAGAGAATGCCCGATATTTGGAAACAAGGTATTATCGTAAAACTTCCAAAAAAGGGGGACCTTAGAGAGTGCAGTAATTGGAGAGGTATCACGATTCTCAATGTATTGAATAAGGTCCTAGCAAACATAATTCTGGGAAGAATAAGCTCAAAAATTGAAGAAAGTTTGCGAGAGGAGCAAAGCGGATTTAGGAAAAAACGGGGGTCTAAGATCACTCAAACACCCTGCGGTTGATTGTAGAACAATCGGCAGAATTCAACTCTCCATTATACATTGTATTCGTCGACTTCGAAAGGGCATTCGATATGCTGGACAGAGAAGCTATATGGAAAGCACTCGCAAAAAAGGGGATTGCTGACAAATTAATCAAACTGATAAAGGAAATGTACAGCAATACAGACACCAGAGTGCTACACAATGGAGTACTTAGCGACCCAGTAAGAATAGAAAGACGTGTCAAACAGGGTTGCCCACTTTCGCCCATACTGTTCAATATCGTGTTAGATGAAGTAATGAGGAAAACATTAGCGCCTCCAAGAGGTATACAATGGTCTCTTATGAATCGCCTAGAGGACCTTGATTACGCAGATGACATAGCCCTACTGTCTCATACTTTCGCAGACATGGGAGCGAAGCTGTCAAAACTCAGTGAACAAGCCGAAAAAGTAGGTCTAAAGATCAACCAGGCAAAAACAAAATCACTATGAATCAATGCAGCTAATCAGGGCAGCTTTGTAGTCAACACAAGCCCAATAGAAGATGTCACTAACTTCAACTACCTAGGTAGTGTCATTAGCACAAGTGGTGGAGCGGATGAAGACATCAAGAATAGGATTAAAATGGCAAGAATGGCATTTGGGCGACTCTGGAAGATCTGGAAGTCATCTCACTTGGCGAGATCAACAAAATTCAGAATATTCAATAGCTGCGTCAAATCGGTCCTGCTATATGGGAGTGAAACCTGGCTAGTACGAAAAAACGACATGGAGAAACTACAAACAATGCTAAACAAATGCCTGCGAATCATCTGTAACATACACTGGCCCAGACGAATAACAAATACGTCGAGTACAATAGCGCGGCAGGCGATGGAGTGGAACCCACAGGGCAAAAGAAATGTGGGAAGACCGCGACTAACGTGGAGGCGAACAATTGCAAAAGAACTAGCGACAGCTGGAAAAACTTGGGCAGAAATAAAAATATTGGCGCAAAATAGAGTTCGATGGAGAAGCTTTGTGGAAGCTCTATGCTCCCAAAGGGAGTGAAGTGGAAAAAAAAAAAAAAAAAAAAATTAGATTAACAAAAGTTATTAATAAATACTAAAATTATTTTCATATGTACATACATACATAATATGTGCATAGGTACAAGAAATTTTATTCTTTATTAACCTTTTAAGAATATTATATACAAATGTGGATTGTACACATTATCTAACTTTATCTTTTCCTATAAAAAAAATTGTAAATAAATTTGTAAAGAAATTATGAAATTGTATTATAAATTGAAATTATATTATAAATTGTACATACATACATATTGTATAATTCAACTTTTAAGTCTCACCTCACTCCTTTCCAAAATTGCTTTTCCCTTTTCCAATTTTTTTTCTTACTAAAATTATGTGAATGCATACATACATATGTACATATATGTATTTAAATAATATTAAACTTGCAATAGAAGTACATAAATACATACATACATATTGTTTTTAAATTTTATAGTTATAAAAAATTATTTTCCGTTTTTAAATTAATAGCAAAATTTCTATTTCAAATTCCTCTAAAAAAAAGTTGTATGCGTGCATGTAAAGAGTTAATGATTTTATAAAATGAAAACACAAAAAATTTTAAAACTGAAATTGAATTAAAAGTAACTTTACATAAAAAATTTTTTTTAATAAAGACAATTAAAAAATTGGTTACTTTTTTAGCTTTAAAAAAATTGTTTTCCATTTTAATTAAAAAAATTTACGGTCAATATGGATTTTTATATTACACGTTTTTTTAAGATTGCAAATGATCTCTAAATTATCACAACCCCTGTCTTTTTACACACATCTTCTTGTGAATACATTTTATAAGAAATATGTACATATGTATGCATAACTTTATATAAAACGAAATGGAGTTTTGCTTGTACTACGTATACATCATATAAACATATGTATACATTTTTTACTTTTCAAGATACGAAAGAACCAAAACAAAAAATTTACAATTGCAGAAAATAAAAATACAGAGTAACAGGAGTAAGTGCATGCCCTTAATTCAGAGATCAAAAAATGTCAATTCAAACCTAGTGTCAATAAACATTCGTACTTATTTAAACATGCGTTTTTAAACTTTGTTCGAGAATCAGTTCTTCTGTTCAATTTCAAGTTTTAAATGTTTTTGGAAAAAAAATACTTACACGTCTTCTCTCTCTTATGTCCCGCAATTGTCGGGGAAAAATATTCACACAGATCTTAGTACATATATTTAAATTTTGTAGCGAAACTTTCTCACAAATTTGTTGATTTAGCAAAAAACTTTCAATACTATTCCGAGTATCTGCACTTCTGATAATTCAGTTCTAAAATAGTATTAATGTGTCCTATGTTTGACAATAAAGTATGTTATTGGACGTGCTGTCAAAAAAGTGTTTGATAATGCGGCACTCTTTTTGTAGTATGTTTTACAACTACAACTGCATAGTAAGATTTTTAAGGTATACGCGTAACAGTTGGATTTAAATTATTTATTAGAATTATTGGATTTAAAGTATTTATTAGAATAAGTTTCTTAAAAATTAATGAGTAAAAGCACGAAATAAGACAATCTAAGAAACAACATCTTAAGTTTCATTTACAGATTTTAAAGTTCTTATGGAAAAATTTGGAACAACAATTAAAAACATGGAAAATAAAAAAACACATAAGAAACAATAGAGGAGAAAAAATTGCAATATAAACTTAATGTGATGAAGTTAGCAGTGTATTTGTAATTATTTTAATATTTTAATAAATTTATTTTTGTTTATTGACTCTGTAATTGAGATCTGTATCTTGGGAACTAAAAGTTGAACAGACATGATTCGAAGAAATAGGGTTTAAAGTTCTGATATTTTCGAAACTGCAACTTCTATCGACTAATTTTGAAAAACGTACTCCCCTATTCTGTAAAAGAAGTTAAAAAACCAAAGAAAACAAAAAAATTTCATTTTTGTTTGGGACTTAACTTTTTACGCAGGATTAAACCATAATTAAGTTTTTAATAAAATCCGAAAGTGCATTTTTTTTAATTCAATTTGTTTTTTCGAACAGGATTAGCATTATTACAAAGCCTTGCAAAAAGAATTATGATCAAACATTTTGAATCATATTTAATCACTTTGATCAAACGGTATGTTTAAAAGCAAAAAAATATCGTTAATACTCGTAATTGCATGATTATGACATTTTGATCCTGTCAAAAATATGATCAAACAAATTTTAGATTAATCAACATTTATGATGATTACTTGAATCTCTGTAGGTATGTATAGTAATTCCTTGGTGAAAGCTCAGTTTCTAAAACTTATTTTACTAAACCGATAAAATATATAGTCTAGATCATCTGACAACATCAAAATATTCTACCTACATGGTAAAATTTAAAATATTAAATGAAATTATTTTTCTTTTTGGCAGGTCAGTAAAGGCAGGAATTTCTCATACGTTTTTTATGGTACCAAAAAGAAAAGGGGATTAATTTAGCGGATTGCTCAATTAAAAAAAGGTTGACATCCAAATCGTCTCAAAACAAAATTCTATTACAGTTTATATACTGCAATAATACAAATTTATGTCACCTTACTTTCACCTTGTATTGACATTGTAAAAAAATACAAAGCTTATATTTATGTTTTAGATCCCTATTTTCGGTTTTCACCGAATATGTTTTCGGCCAAATGTAAATTTTTTTTAAAATGAAATTCATATATATGTACGTATATATAACACAAGTTATGATCCAAAGAAGGCAGAGCTTCGTTCAGCCAAAAATGGTATGGAATAGAAGAACAGCTTCAGCTGAAATTTGTACTCACAAGAGAACAGACAGATTTTCAACAACCATTTGTAGTTTCATAAAAAGAAAATTTATACAATTCAATTCAAATAAACTCACCTATGACTTAAATATCGCCTATGTGAATTCATGCACGACCTAACTAAACTCTTTCGTTGATGTGGAGATGGAGGTGCTCCTTTGAGTACTGGTGTTTCTGAAATTTAAAATAAAAAATATTTTAAATAAAATTATTTCGTTGTTCTTTTTCTTTTAATTTTAAATAAAACGCTGAGTATTGATAAAACCAATAAATTATCTAAATTATTGCATAGTTTTTGTTAAGACAAGTTAGAAAATTGGAATTTCATAGAATTATTACATTGCAAAATCAGAATACATACCAGAACATATGTAATAGTTAAGGAAGATAAAAATACTTGAGACCTTCATTTGAAGCAACCGGTTTTAAATATTCACTCACGTTCTCTTAAACCCATAACATAACGTCATGAAATATTAATCAAATGAGACATAGAATTCCAAATTTTAAAATTAACTGAAGTGATGATTTAAATATTACACTTGTTTTAAGCACTGATTCCGTGATAGAATATCTCTATTTTAAAATAAATTCCAGCAATTTCAATAAATTTTGAAATATAAATATGTTAAATAAAATTTTAAATTTGTTAAAAAGCGATTTCTCGCCTCTCACACCGGGTCATTTTCTCATCGGTGAGCCAATTACATCAATTGCACAACCAGGTGCTGTTTTGTATAGATGGAAACTAGTTTCAATAACTAGACAGGAATTTCCAAAAAAAAAAAAAACGAGTGTAAAGGAATACTTAACGGAACTTCAGCATCAATACAATACATGGAAAGAAATGTATAAGAATTATGAAAGACAAAAACATTGAACGATTGCCAAAATTCAAGAGATCATCAGAGAAGGAAATGGTTTAATATGAATAGTAATCGTAAATACGCCAACAGTAATTCAATCACTAAAGTAGATAGTCCTTTATGTTAATATTGCTTCGCTTTTAATTTTTACTAAAAATATAGTAAGAAAAATAAACTATTAGCTAGCTAGTATTTTTCTTGCTAGCTAAACTATTATTTAGTTAGTAAGAAAAATAAACTATTTTTGAGAAAATTTTTTTCCATAATTTTCTAAAGGAAAATTCTTTCATTAAAAAAAATTGTTCCCAAAGGTTTTTTTAACTTAAAATTTTCCTCTAACCTGAAAAAATTTTAATAAATAGTTGAAACGAAAATAAGTAGAGTTGACAGATGCACATGGTATAACGGTTACGTTACCACATAAACTGATACCATCTTACTGAAAATATATAGTGAATTTATGTAATTAAGATGAAATTATTTGCGAAGTTATATAGGAGCAGTTTGTATAATTTCGGTTGGTAGAACCAAATAACTTTTAAAGTTGTATGGCAGCTATCATAAATGCTCATATCTCAACAGCTTTTAGCGAAAATAATTCCCTTTTTCCATATTTGCTTTTATAATTTCTGAGATATAGCTCAACAGCAAGATTGAGATATAGCTGGCAGAGAAAGTCCTTCTTTACAATATCGAAATAAAAGCAACTTATGTTGCCATATTTATAAAGGAAAGTTAAAATAAGTAAAAACCTTTCAGTCAGTCTAAACCGACTGAATTATACCCTGCACCTTGATGATATAAACACAAAAACTATTTTTTGGAAATATTTAGAATTAGCTTTCATAGTTGTATGGAAATTACTCAATTCTCTCAAACTTCACGGTTATGTATGATCTGTAATTGGACACACGATTACCAAATGTCATGCAAAGATTGTGTGGCAACTACCCGAACCTGTCAAGTCATTCCAAAGAATTTCTAGGATATGTGTTAATTAGTCATTAATCTAATTCAATTATTTTTCTATTAATATTTTTTTATATATAAAAAAATATTAATAGAAAAATATATAAAATTTATAATAGTAATAGAATATTTAAAATTAACTTTTGGAGTTGTATGGTCGCTACACGAATTTGCGCAGCCATATCATTAAAAATTTTCAGAATATATGTAATATGAAATTGGACATTGGTTTGCAAAACTTCATATTAATTTCTGTAGTAGCTTTCAAAATATTTAAAATGAACTCTTTCAAGACGTATGGCAGCTACCCGAACCCGTTGTTCGAATGGGTGCAATTACATTAAGTAGAAATGAAACAATTTGTGAAAGTTTGATTAAGTTAGTTTTATTCGTTTTTAAGTTATCGTGCGATCGGACGGAAGAACATGTCTAAATCAACACAGAATTGTACGCTGAACAAGAACATAAATATATATGTGAATACTGCAGACGACTCCTTCAGGTACCAAACTCCGTACCAAAGTTAATTTTTATATAAAAGAAATTTTGGTATCTTATACATATGTACGGGTCACTCGCGGTACGTAATTTTTAAAAATTAATGACAACGTAATGATTATTATTTATTAAACCTCTTATATCTTCTCTTAAACAGTTTATAAATTGTTACTGCAGTCCCATATTTCAATAACTAATGATGTGTACAGCAATAAAGTTTACTTTCATATTGCTACAAAAATTGTTTTAAAAAATATGATAAAAAGCTTTGCCAGAATGTTACAATACAATCAATTATTAATATAAGAAAACTGTTAAAAGATGGTATTTTGACTCAATTAGGAAAAATTAGTCTAAAATAACACAAAAAATTCTTGTTTTGGTGAAAACGTTCCGAGTGAAAAGATCTTTCAAATCGACAACATGAAATTTTTTCTCTATGCTTTTATATTCATAACCTCAATTAGAAAAGAACTCATTTTTGTGAAAGTATGTAGATAGATATTATTGAGTTTACATCGGAGTTATTATTGGTAGCGCTGCTTCAGTAGTTCTATTGCAATGCAGTTTTAACACCAATCATACCAAGACTTAATATGTATACCTATTTCTACCATAGCGGGCCAAATGACCCGTTGTGGTGGATATCGGTATACAACAAGAATTACTCAGAATAAACAAAACAAAACAAACAAAAAAAATTGTTATAACTGTACATTAATTACTTAGAAAAAGTCATGAAGTCAAATGTGCAAACGCAGTAAAATTATACGTGCGTTTTCAATGCAATTGTTCAAAATGGGTCATTTGACCCGTTATGGTATGTTTAGTGTTAACTAATAAGATCTCTCACGGTCATGTGCATCCAATTAAGTAAATACATATAAATTATATAGGTTCCTATGTACATGATTTATAAATAACATCTAATATTATATAAAAATTATATAACACGTTAGATTTCTTTTATTGAAGAAATTAGGTACGACGAAATATTAATTTTGTACAAGGCTTTTTAAAAAGCTATAATCAACATTGATAAATTCTAAAAAAAAATTGCTACTATCACCTATTCATTACGGGTAACTAAATGATTAACTTGCAATTTTGATAATTAAATTTATTTAGTAAAAAACTTAATTAAATGGAAACATTATAATCTGCGATGCTTAATGCCATATAAATTTAAAATAAATTTTCAAGTCCTTTATCACACAGTCAAACAATTTCATACAAAATTCAGGTTTTAAAGAATAAATGTGATACATTTTAATTTTAGAATTAATCTTTGTATTCAAAATTGAATTATGACCGACATCTTTTTCTTTTCTTTACTTTCTTTTAAAAATAATTTAAAAGTCAATATAATCAAAAAATAAACTAGAAAATTAGATTAGTAGAAGACTTTTAATTGCACTATTTCGTAATTGCTATTACATTTCCCATTAAGCTGTTGCAATGTTGGTTGTTCATTAATGCAAATCGGTAATACCTAGTAACTTTCTAATTTACCATCAAAATCGAAATTGAGTTCTTTTAGTTTCCGTGACTTCAATAATGCGCTCACGACATAAATTTTACAAAGTATTAAGTTCCAAAAAGTTTAGTTAAACCTCTTGACATTGTACACTTTTCCTAAATGCGTTTTATACGTAGTGGAGACGTAAAATAAAAGTAAATCGGGTATCGAAAAAATCGAGCACGCTTTTCTTATACCTTGTCATATAAATGTTGCCAAAAATAACCGATAAAATAAACTAGCATATATTTTCCGCAATAAAGTTCTAGTTATCAATTTTTTTTTCCTAAAATGCAGCATAAAAATGCTATGTTTTTAATGATGCGGTAACGTTTTATAAAAATTAACATTTGAACAGAACTTTAAATTGAAATTTTCAAATAAACGTCAAAGTTTTATTGATATGGTAAAAATTGTATTCCAAAATGTACGAAAAGCTTTAGTAGTTTTTTTTAAAACGTAAAGGTATTGAAAGCTCTGAGACGGTACTACAACCGTATCAGAACTGTACTTAAATCTTTTTTAAAGCATTATTGAAGTCACAGTTTATTATTGAAATCTTTCTTAATATTTCTAATATTATTTCAAATTTAATTGACCTTCGTTGGTAAAAATTACGTGCTTTTCAAACTCAAAATCTTGTTTTTGTGCTGTCTTGCAAATTCAAAGCGGTTCCTTCTGTTTTTCTTATTATGAAAAGGTTTTTTTATCGCAACTCTACTATTGTACCTATGATTTCTAATAGTCCATCGAACTGTTTCAGGCCTTAAAATTTGAAAGTTAAATCTTTACTATTTCTACTAGCTTAGGAGCTTGTTTTCAGGTTCTTTTTAATTTCTTTGAGAATAATGCGCTTATCACGGTTCCTTATTCTGTATTCTATTTCGTCGGTATAACGTTTTACAATATACAGAATTGTAGAATGACTCCTTTCCACTAAGTACTAATCTCTGAAAGGGATTTGCCATTTTTATAATAGGCTACGATCAATTTCCGTTGCTCTGTTGAAGTTTCTTTCGATTTCCTGCCCATAGTTTAATTAAAAGAAATATTTCGTTAAAACGCAATAAAAATTATGTATTCAAACTCTCTTAATTATTGATCGGAACTAAGAAAAATTATTAACAATTATCAAAACAAACATTGCATAATTTATTTTCAATAATTTTGGTGCCTTTATATAACTGTACGAATATGACTGTAAGCATTTTTTTTACTTGTTTTTGTTTTTCTTGGATAGTTCCAAAAACAAATATTTTTTTTTTTTTTTTGATTTAATTTTAATGATAAGTAACCAATTTTGTAAAAAAAACTAAAATTAA